ATTGAACAACTAAGAAAAGTAAAAAAAATACTTCTTATCGCCAGCGTAAATGCGTAATTATTTTTTTTACAGAAAAAGTAATTTTTCACCTTTAATTGAGTAACGTGTCGTAGAATGCAGATACGGGTATGCAAGATACACTTGTGAAAAGCTTGAAGTCTGGCGATTCTAAAAATATATACTTTCCTGGGTCTATTTGTAGTCATTTAGTCACAATTAGAAGATGAAAACAAGTATGCAAACTAATCAGGTCTCTGCATAATCCTAGAAGATCTAAGTAGCAAGTCTCATTGAAATATGATGATTACTACTGAAAATTAATTAATTATGCAAATTAGGTAATTAATATGTACTCATATTACCCTAAAAACTATCAGGTCTGTGCAGTGTCTTATGACATCTATGTACCAAGTGTCATTGAAATGTGATGATTACTACTTGAAATATCAAAATCTGAAAATTAATTAATTATGCAAATTAGCTAATTAATATATACTGATATTGCCCTAAAAACTATCAGGTCTGTGCAGTGTCCTATGACATCTATGTACCAAATTTCATTGAAATGGGATGATTACTACTTGAAATATCAAAAGTTGAAAATTAATTAATTATGCAAATTAGGAAATTAATATGTACTCATATTACCCTAAAAACTATCAGGTCTGTGCAGTGTCCTATGACATCTATGTACCAAGTTTCATTGAAATGTGATGATTACTACTTGAAATATCAAAAGCTGAAAATTAATTAATTATGCAAATTAGCTAATTAATATATACTGATATTACCCTAAAAACTATGAGGTTTGTGCAGTGTCTTTATTGAAATGTGATGATTAGTACTGGAGATATCAGTGGAAAAGCCGAAAATTGATTAATCATTATGCAAATTAGGTAATTAATATTGGAAAGATTTTTACCCAAAACTAATCAAATCTGCGCATTAGTTTGGAGCATCTGTGTGTCAAGTTTCATCAAAATCCAATGAGTGGTTCTTTAGATATCAGTGGAACAGTGATGGAAAAGCTAAAAATCAGCTAATTATCATGCAAATTAGGTAATTAATATGCATGGATTTTTACCAAAACCTAATCAAATCTGCGCATTGGCCCAGAGCATCTATGCACCAAGTTTCATCAAAAGCTGATGTATGGTTCTTGAGATATCAGTGGAACAGACGGACACACACACAGACACACATACAGACACACTAACTGCAAAGACTCACTTTTTGTGCTTCGCACACGGGAGTCAAAAATTTGTCGCTCAAAAGGTTAAAGATGTGGGTGTAAATTCTTTATAGATTTTAATGTAAAACAAATGTAATTTGCTTATTCGCGAGCAGACTTATTTTTTAGGCATCCCGTGTCAAAATGGCAGTTCTCTCGCCATCAACTTCAGACAGCTTGTTGACTGCTGGAAAGTTCTATCTTAAAGAAAAAAAATTAAATTGTATGCAAAAATATAGGCGACAAACTAAAATGTAATGACCCATGATTTTCTTGGTTTTTACACTCATTTTGTTATAAAATATTAATTCCAATTTATCAAATTCCGTAACTATAAGAACACTATTATTATACAGTTCTCTATTGTGCCAATATTAGTTGGCATGAGTGGCACGTCATTTCAGCTTTGAGGGCCCACTGCGGGTTTAAATGTACTGTAGAATACTTTATTTTCGCTTGGAATTCATTTTCGCTATTTTCGCTGAAGGGATGATTACGTGAAAATAAAATCCAGCGAATATACTTTTTTTCCTATATTTCACATTAAACTCATCAAAAATCAGTGAAAATAAATTCCATACAAAATGCCCAAAAAGCCTTTTCAGCGAAAATTAATTCCAGCGAAAATAAAGTATTTTACAGTATGTACTTTTTAGTGAGCTTATTGATTGATTTATCTGAATATAAGAGGTTAATCTTGTTTAAATAGCTTGATCCACCAAAACAACTAACAAGAGTTTCTTAGGGCCCCTCCCCAATAACTAACTCTAACCCCTCTCATTTTCATTATATATGCCTTTTTCAGGACATGTTTATTTATCTTGAGGGGCATACAAAATTACATTAGAGGGCTAGAGTGTTATTAGGAATTGGGGAGCCTCAAGGAACTCTTTCCAAACAATCAGTGTTTTTTTGTTATGTGATAAAAACGGTTACAATTTTCATGGAAACAAGATCAGACTTTATTTTTTCTTTGTCATTTACTTGATGGAGCCTGTGACACTGTAAAATGGCATTGTCGCTTGTCTCATTAAGTAGCTGAAGTAGGTGGGCTGTGATACAAACCAAGCGAACACTAACTAAAATTAGTGTTGTGTAACTACAATTTTGACAGAGTCAGAGATAATGGATATCTTACCATCAGATGAATATCCAGTTAATCCACCAAAGATAACAAGTACATAATCCACATCCAACTCGCGCATTATTTCATACGCTTTCTCTTCTGTCGAAGCCATTGCCTAAAAGGAAAACCATAATATTCAACACATGAGAACAGTACATTTTAGACAAGGACAGCGCCCTCTAGTAATAATATAGAGAAAGCCTGTGACACGTTTTTAGCAATCAGTGGTACATGTACTTATAAATCTTTCCAATTCTCAGCGTTGACAATTCAGATACAAACAAAACTTGATTTAACATTATTTATATTATTTTCAGATAGTAAGCTGTGGTATCCTAATGAGTTATACTCTTAGATTATCGCTAGAACATAACAATGCTTTAACATAATACTAAGAGTGATTCACTACATAGAAGCTCAATTGCAGAGAAATAAAGATTTTATATTATTTGGCCTGAGTACAGAATTACGTCAAGTGATTCCTTTTGGGAGTCATAGCAACTGGCATGCTATTTGCATACATGCTTAAAAATCTACATATTTAAAATCACACAACTAGCATGCTTAAATCGCATGAGTAACATTCAGTGTGTTAGTTACAATATTGATCAATACTGAGGAAGCACATTATCTCATACCTGTCCAACTCTAGATATATGCGTATTATTCCAAGTGTTATTATCAACCAGTATTGTCCGATTAGCCATAGCCGTGATTTGATAACCATAATCCCACCACGACATTATCTTAGCATCTTCAGGGGTGTTATGACGTAGCCAGTAGTACGATTCACGGAAGTCATCAAATATGATACGTCCACCATCAGCAGCTCGAGCCGACAACACGATAGATGGCGAAGAGTAGGCTTCTGATGTTACCCAGGTACAATGAAAGGTGTAGGTCATTAAGAACAAAGACATTAACAGAATTACAGCCGTAGCAATTTCGTTCTTCAGTGGGTAGCTTGTGTCTGCTTTCTTGGATTTCTTTTCACGACGCGACATGTCCAAATTTTTCATGTAGTTGCTGAGTACAGAGGAGACTCCAATACCAGCTAGAATACACATGACTGGTGCTAAGACCAACATAAGACGCACCATAACACCCTGCAAATCAATAAAAGAATGATGAACATACAGTCAAACCTGTGTTACTTTTATATAAAGAGCTATGCAATTGATGCACACTTGGTCAAATAAACCTGTATATACTGTAAAATACTTTATTTGAGCTGGAATTAATTTTCACTATAAAGACTTTTTTGGTGTTTTGTATGAATCTATTTTTACTGAATTGTTACTGAATTGTTATACACAGGTTTAGTTTAAGAATGAACAGTAGTGAGTATGAATTGATGTTTACTGACACTACGTATACTTACTGAGAAGTAAAGACTTGTAATACCGTACATGATGATAAAGATATTAGCATCTGTCAACTTGCTAAAGCAGTAATACATCCCAACTAAAAATACAAAAAAAAAAATTATAATGCAAAGGGTTGATTAAAGTTGTATTGTCAGAAAAACTTTTGAAAGCCTTTTCAACTTTGAGTAACTTGGCCAAAAATCACATAGGAAGCTGAAATATTACAATTTATTTATTAAATCATTTGTCATATAAAATATTCAGTTGATGCATTGTTGTTCATAGTGATTTGATGACATCCTAAGATGCTGAAAACTCATTGTGACTTGATGACACCCTAAGATGCTGAAAACTCATTGTGACTTGATGACACCCTAAGATGCTGAAAACTCATTGTGACTTGATGACACCTAAGGTGCTGAAAACTCATTGTGACTTGATGACACCTAAGACACTGAAACCTCATAGTAACTTGATGACACCCTAAGACACTGAAACCTCAGTGACTTGATGACACCCTAAGATGCTGAAAACTCATTGTGACTTGATGACACCCTAAGATGCTGAAAACTCATTGTGACTTGATGACACCCTAAGGTGCTGAAAACATATAGTAACTTAATGACACCCTAAGACACTGAAACCTCAGTGACTTGATGACACCCTAAGACGCTGAAAACATATAGTAACTTAATGACACCCTAAGACACTGAAATGTTCAGAATATTCAGTTGATGCATTGTTGTTCACAGTGATTTGATGACACCCTAAGATGCTGAAAACTCATAGTAACTTGATGACACCCTAAGACACTGAAACCTCAGTGACTTGATGACACCCTAAGACGCTGAAAACATATAGTAACTTAATGACACCCTAAGACACTGAAACCTCAGTGACTTGATGACATCCTAAGACACTGAAAACTCGGTGACTTGATACCTCCCTAAGATGCTGAAAACTCATTGTGACTTGACACACTAAGATGCTGAAAAATCATTTTGACTTAATGACACATAAGACGCTGAAAACAACAAAATGCTGAGAACTACTCAGTGATGTTTAGTTATTAGCTTCTGATACAGATATATTGTGAATATCATAGCTTATAATTACAGTACACTTATCACTTGACATGTCAAGATTTAGCAGACAATACAACTTAAGACATGACATTTATAGATTGCATTGTGAGAATATGTTACGTATTATATTGTTGTTGTTGTTGTTATGGTGACAGTCCATAAACATCGTAATAATAAGTGTCAAAATCATGAAACCTTACCTGGAAACATAAAAACCAACATTTGCAAATCAAAGTAGAAGGAGCTCCATGTTGTCGGTTGATGTTCTGATACAGATGCAATAATAGGGATGTTATTCTTGGCATAGGAGGGATCCAATAAAGAATAGAAACGTCCGGTCCATGGCGAGATTTCTAGACATCAAGTTAAGCAAATATTCAAATGTACTGTTGTGTTGTGTTCTCTCAAATGTAGCAGGGACTATTTATTTATTCCTTATTTGTGTAAATCAACAGAAAGTTTCCCAATTACTGATCTGGAAAATTTAGTTCTAAGGGCAGATATGGGAGAAAAGATCCAATCAAGTAATCTATTACTCTTTGTGATGAGAATGCTCAAGTCCTTTAAAGCAGGGAGTCGTCACCTACGCATGCGTCAGACGGCCATATCGTGTCATTGTTTACTAACAAGCGTCTACCCATGAGCCATTGCATTTTTAGCGTTTATTGTTATCGTCACTTGGGACTAGATTCCTACACGTGCACAGGTGACATCCCTCTCGCTTTAATATCAGTTCTGATTTTAGATCATTGTCAATAAATCAACAGGTGACATCCCTCTCTCTTTAATATCAGTTCTGATTTTAGATCATTGTCAATAAATCAACAGGTGCTTGAACAGGTTTCATTGACTGTTTTCATCTGACCAGTGAATTCTTGAAAACCAACATTATAACAACAGGTATCCGTATATTGTAGCTGAAGACAATAAGTTAAAAGGGCTGCTGGGTAATTAAAATGTTTATCAAAGGTGAGACCCCCAACATGTCCCTGAGTACGTTCAGAGTCCAAAAGCTCTGGTACAATATAAAGGATACTTCCAGTGGCAGTCAAGACAGCACCAACAGCAGTAACAATCAGAGCAGCTACCAATACCAATGTACGGAACAATATCTCAAAGTATTCTTTAGACAGGCGAGATCTAACATAGTCAATGAATGCATGTATTTGACATAATCCAAACACACCTAAGGCCTGAACAAAAATACAGTGAATCATAAATATTTATGTAATTGCTTAAAATTCAGGACAGTAGACAGTTTGTATGCCAACAGTCATGGTGGTGGTGGTGGTGAAGATATAAATTTAGTTAACCGATTTTATGGATAAGGACAGCATACACTATATTACGTCATAACTTATATTGTTTTGAAAGTTTGAATAAGTTAAAAATGCTGTGTTTACAAAAAGACAACTACACATAAAAGCTGCAGATAAATACAGGAATAACAATTTTTATATAGTATTGTCATAGAACAGGTGTATTTTCAATGAAAAACCAGTAAACTACAGTTTTGAGCAAAAAGTATATATATCGATATATTGAGTTATGAGTTTTATGCGTTAAACTGATGTATTTACAGATGTATCATACAAATTCACAAAAGAGAAAATTTGAACAAAAACAGCCAAATTTTGAGTAAAAACTGAAAATTGACTCAAATTTTGTCTGTTGGCTCCAAAATTAGAATCCATTGTCGGCTGAGATAGCTCTGCTGTTAGCAATGCACATTACAATTAAAGAACTGAAGATATCATTAGAAAATTAACAATATATATATAAACATAGTTGAACTCTGGTGACCTTGCCCTTTGTTATATAATATAATTCCCTTTATCATAGTTTGTTTCAATATAAATATGCATTGTCATAATTAATTTTGAATACAAACAAGTTTTGGGGTTGAACCAACAGTGGGGAATCAGTCTACCGAATGTCCTTAAACAATGTAAATATCTTACAAAACATTGGTGCCTTATTTGTTTAATTATTTTAAGGAACATAATTTCCAGCTTTATTCAAAGTAATTCAGATATTTTAGAATAAAAACAAATGTCTCATTGCAAAAAAAAAGTGCTGCATTTAGATGTGAATAGATTCATAAAACATGCAAGATAACAGACAAATTTAGCTGGCTTTAGTCCAAAGTATTTTGTACAGGTGTCTGTCAAAAATTAATGATTCACTGAGACAAATATGAACTGCCTCATTGTGTGACTACTGTATTATATGAAAAGTAAAAAAACACACCCTTTATGAATAGCTATCATGTTGCAAGCTTTGCTTTGTATGCAAATCAACTTAAATAGTTGGTGTCCAGTGGAGGGAGAAGTCAACAGTACTGTTGCCTCCTGAGAATCTACATCTTCAAACACTGCAATCTTTGAAGTGCGTTTTTAAACTAGTATTATAAAAACTCTATCATTCTGTTCTAATAGCTGAAACATATTCCTGTGAGTTTTCATTTGTCAAATACAGAATACATATATTTTAGAATAATTTTCTTTTTAAAATGTGGATGAAATGTTTTGCTTTTAATGTATTTTTTATGTATTGTTTTTGATTTGATAGGCACCCAGTTCATAGGAGTGCTTATATTGATTTTCTGACATCTTGTTTTCTGTAAAGATTTTATTGGTAGGTTTGCAAATGTGTATCAGACTGTGCAATCTCTCCACGAGTTGGTTTTGAAACCCAGTATGGGATTCTGAGATACATTACCAAGGATATTATTACAAGATAAATGATTTGCTTCATTGAACACATACAACAATGCATATTTCCACTGAGATCAGTGACCTTTGATGTGTATCACCAGTGATCAGTCAAGTAGAAACAGTCAAAATATTTTATCAGATTTTCTCAATTTTTGCATGATATTTCATACAGGATGA